TTAGCAGGGATGTTCGCAGAGAAGTTTAAAAGTAAATAAGTACGCAAGCGTCTTGAAAATGTTAATGCATCCGGCTGGCAGGTTGTCGAATCATCGTTGGGTAACACCCTTCAATGTAGCTGGGAAGCATCGGCACCATGCAACATCATCCAACCCTTGTAAATACATGAGGTTGGTGTAAGTCATGAGGTGATCTTCTGGATTGGTGGTACCATCATAGGCACCTACCAGAACATTTTTAACCTTGGCCGGCTGTGTAGCCTTGGTTATTTCCTTGGAGAACGCAGAAGGTTGTTCCCCAAGATTTAGTAGACGGAGCTACCAGTCCAAAGGTTGGACATTTTGTGTCGCCTGCCCCCCAAAGAGGGTCGGCTGCATGTATGGTTGTCCATACAACATGTATGGTTGCTGAGGCACATACGGATCCAAATGGATTATCTGAGGGCCAGAGTGGACGAACATGCCGCCAGACTGACCCTCTCGGTTTGACTGCAAATACCTCATTGAGGTATTCTGAAAGCTGTCTGAATAAGTCGACGTTGAAGCCGACTCAGAAAGTTGTTGACTTTTCTTTTGCTCAATTAGTATCCGAGCATCAGAATATGTCTTGTTTGAACCATCCGCCTGAATATGCCGGACGACCTTCCTCTTCCCTGTCTCAGGAAAGTGGATCTTGGACAGATCAATCAAGGGCCAGTTCCCCTCCTTTGTTTTAGGATGTGGAGTAGGCACTCGGTCCTTGACTGGCTTCTTGGTTGACTGATCCTTGGTGGAGCTTGCTGTCTTGATGCGGAATCTAAGGTTAGGTTGTGTGTTTCGGGTTATGGGTTATTTGTTTAGGCTAGGTGTCGAGGAGGTTTAGTGTTTAGGCTAAGTGTTTAGGTGCGAGGGAAAGGTAAGGAAATGAAACTAGTTCACGTGAGTGGACTAGTTCAAAGATAGGTATGGTTAGAGTTGAACACTCACTCTACTAACCACAATCAAGCTAACTCCGAACACTCTGAGTTAAGCTCACAAACTCGAGTCCACGAGTTCAAGTACCTTGAGTCCACAAGTCGATTAAAAACACAAAGTAATTTCGAAATATATAATTATTATTCAAGATAAGACGAGTAAAAATGATAAGCCGCCAGCCATTTGCTACCCCTCATGTGTAACGGTTCCATGAAAACCGTTGCACATTGAAGGCTTCTTCATGTTGCTGCTGCGCATTTAATGGGTAGCAGTTCTTAAGGAAACCGCTGCCTTTAGCTATGCTCTCCCCATTTCAGCGGTTTTGAGCTACATCTTTATTACACCAATTTAGCTCAGCTAATTACACTCTAACAATTGAAAATAAAACATACACTTAATTAAAATAAAAATGTAATTAAACTAAGGAGGTTATACTCCAAAGTGGCGCCCAATAAGAGAGTAATTCTCTTCTTAAATTTACACTAAAACCGTGTAACCCCCCTCCTTTATTTTCTTCTCTTGGATGCCTTCATTTGATTGGAATAAAAGAATAGTCTATCACAATGCTATTAAAATATGCTAAATGCATCCTAGGCAAGATATCTACTAGCTTACTCATCCAACCAAGTCACGCATGACTTGTATATGGGTGAAGAAATGTTGATACCCATGTGTGTAACCTTGACATCTTTGGATCCTTGTATGAACAGCCCATGGACAATAGGAACATTGTTTTGTTGCACCCTTGACCATGTGTTTGGACCCCTTGGATTGCTAAGCTCATTGGCTTGCACGAGTTCTTGATCAAGGATCAATTCCAGATCATTCCCCCCTTCCTCAAAGAAGCTTGCCCTCAAGCTTTCATCATCTAAGTATGGAGCAAGGTCACCCACGTTGAATGTTGATCTTACATCACCATAGTCACTAGGAAATTTGATTTTTTTGGCACTTTCACCAACTCTTTGAAGCACACGAAAAGGACCATTCGACCTAGGCATAAGCTTGTTCTTACGTAGGTTAGGAAATCGTTCTTTTCGAAGATGTAAGCAAACTGAGTCACCTTCATTGAACCGTGGTTGAGAATGGTTCTTGTTGGCTCTGTTTTTTTACTTCTCATTCATAGTCTCGATCCTCTCATGAACTTGCTTAAAAGTTTGTTGAAATGCCTCACACCTTTTCTTAGCATCACCATGGACCAACTCGGTTTTAGGTAGTGGAATGATCGAGCTCCACTGGTAACAATAGATTCACAGCATAAACCACCTCGAATGGACTTTGACTTGTAGTATAGGAAGTATACCTATTATAGGCAAACTCAACATGAGCCAATTTCAAGTCCCAATCTCGTTGAGTCTTGTTCACAAGTCCACGCAACAACACACCCAAGGTTCGATTAGTGACCTCGGCTTGCCCATCCGTTTGAGGGTGGTGCGAAGTACTAAACAAGAGCTTGGTCCCCACTAACTTCCATAGCATCCTCCAAAAATGGCTAAGAAATTTAGTGTCACGATCAGAAACAATGGACCTTGGCACAACGTGTAAACGAACCATTTCTCTAAAGTACAAATCCGCAACTCTTGATGCATCATCGGTTTTGTGACAAGGAATGAAGTGTGCCATTTTTGAGAAACAATCAACAACAACCATGATACTATCATTGCCTCTTTGAGTTCTTGGTAAACCCACAACAAAGTCCATGCTCACGGCTTCCCAAGGAACAATAAGAACTGGCAAAGGAACATAGAGACCTTTATGAAAGGTACTCTTGGACTTTTGACATGTTGCTCACCTTTCCACCACTTGGCTCACATCTTTGGTCATGTGAGGCCAATAGAAATTTTGTTGAAGGATGTCTACTATCTTATGGACTCCAAAATGACCAGCTATGCCACCACTATGAGCCTCTCGAACCAATAGTTCACGGACTCCACACTTAGGCACACACAGCTTGTTGCCTTTGAAGAGGAATCCTTCTTCCTTCACAAAATCTTTAATAGGATTGTTAAAAAAACTAGAAAAATCATCATCATCACAATAAATACCTTTCAAATGTTCAAAACCCGGAATTTGAGTTTGAACCATGGACAACAAAAAATTCCTTCTTGACAAAGCATCGGCCACCACATTCTTCTTCCCTTGTTTGTATCTCTAACTAAAGGTGAAGGATTGTAAAAACTCTACCCACTTGGCATGTCGTGAGTTAAATTTTTGTTGACCATTGATGAACTTCAAAGCTTCACGATCCAAATGTAACATAAAAGGTTTTGGCCTCAAATAATGGGACCAATGATCAAGTGCATGCACAATAGCATAGAATTCTCGATCATAGGTAGAATAGTTCAATTTTGCACCATTCATTTCTCACTAAAGTAAGAAATGGGCCTTTTGTCTTGCACCAACACGGAACCGATACCCACTCCACTAGCATCATATTCAACTTCAAATAGCTTATCAAAATTAGGTAAAGCTAGAACAGGAGCCGTACATAGTTTAGCTTTGATTTCCTCAAATGCTCGTTGGGCTGAATCATTCCACTTGAACACTTTCTCTTTCAATAATTCCGTCAATGGGGCAGTGATTATAGAGAATCCTTTGATGAAGACTCTATAGAAAGAAGCCAATCCATGAAAGCTACGCACCTCATGAATATTGCGTGGCACCTCCCATGTAGAAATTGCCTTCACCTTGCTAGGATCAACTTGTATACCTTCACTAGAGACAATATATCCTAGGAAAGTAATATTAGTATAAAGAAAATCACATTTCTCTACTTTACCTTACAATTTATGTTTACGCAATACCTCAAACAATAATCTAAGATGAGTTACATGTTCATTCTCACTTTTGCTATATACTAAAATATCATCTAAGTATACAACAATGAATTTGTTAAGAAATGGTCGGAGTACTTCATTCATTGAAAGGAATGGTGTCCTTCCAACAAGTGTATTATTCTGATAGAGGGTTTAGAATTATTAGAGAGCTAATTCTTCAGTGAGGTCAAGTGATCGGAATGTCTAGGTAGAGGCCGCTTCCGATCAGTATTATTAATGTACAATTAATATTACAACTTAATCATGACTGAACCCTTCGGGTCGAACCCAATCGAACAACTGATCCGAGAAAACGAATCAATCCGAAGGATTTGATGAGTCATTGGAATATTACGAACAAAGACGTCGGATATCGAGCTTAAAGCGTCGAGACCGAGTGTCACAAGTCGAGTCGAATTTAAAATTCGAATAGACGTGAAATCAAACAAGCAACAAGTTCGAGCCTAGTCGTAGCCTCGCATTGGCTTAGCTATGTGAGTGCTAGGCTAGGCGAGGTCCCAACCTATGCGTGCCTAGCAAACGCACACCACATGGCACAAACATTACAAGATGCGTGCATGCGGGTGGTGTGGATGTGCATGGTTGGGCGTGCTAGCATACCGGCCCTAGCCATCGCATCATTCTAGGCCACGCACCAAGCCCTTCGCTAGCTAGCAAGCATCGCAAGGCCAGCAGCATGCTAGGCTTGTTGGGTCTTGCTATCGCAAGCAACGCAGGCATGGTGTCGTGCGTGCATGCTAGCGTGCTAGGAACTGGTGCCTAGCTCATCGAAGCCTCGCATATCGCACAGCACCACGCACCAGCCAGCAGCGTGCTGGGCATGCTGGCACTAAGCGAAAATACGAATTCCCCACCGGTTCAAACCCCCCATTTCGCACCGGTTTGAACCGGGTTGGATTTGGGGGGTGCTAAAACCCCATAGATTTCGCACCGGTTCAAAACCAGTGGGAAAAAAGACTTTTCGCACCGGTTCTTTGTGAGAACCGGTGCTAAAAACCTCACTTTTTACACTGGTTCTTGCTTTGAACCGGTGTAAAAAGTCCCAAAAAAATTATTAAAAACACTTTTAGCACCGATTTTGTTCCAAAACCGGTGCTAAAAGTGCCCCAAAAAAATAAAAATAAAAAAAAATTTGCATTTTTTTCACTTAAATTGTACTTTATAATTATATATAATCATAATATACATAAAACAAATATATTTTCTTCAATAACTTGTAATATTACACTTAAAAAACTAAAATAATGGAGAAATGGAGAAAGAATTAAAAAATCAACATTAATCTACTAATATTATCTTAGAAGAGAGATTGGAGCAGCTCCAACTTGGTGTCTAAGAATAGCTCGAACCACAAATAACAGATCACACTATAGTACTACATCCTTAAGCCCCAGTTAATGCACAAGAACAACCCATATCTTGTAGCCCCAGCCTCAACTAGCTCTGGTGTCCAAAATCCTTCTTGATCAAAACTCACTGTGCTTTTGTAAAATCCTTACTGCCTGACCACTTTGAGCCTACTTCTGCCAAAGTCTGTAAAGGGGACTATCAGCATCACCTTGCAAAGAAAAATAAATCTCAAGTAACACCACCCAGCACATTTGCATCAGAGATCAAATTAATACATTTGCATCTAAACAAACCTGCTTAGAATAGATGTCCACAAGCAGGAACAGCAACCACTATTGGAGGCCAGCAAATCCCACAAGTGATATGTCTAACAAAAGTCAATCTCGTTAGGAGGTAATTGTAATAATCTTTAGAAGACGAGAATAACCAACAAACACATAACTTTTAAGAATTATGCTAAAATGATAATTATGCATTAGTTATGTATAAGAATCCAAAAGACTACATATATACTTCGTATAAAATATACAGGGGAAAGAGGATCCTAGTACCTAGCAAACAGCTAAATTCAGCTTACCTTTAGTACTAGTACGAAGCTTATTACAAGTACGACCTTATACTTGAGTATATGCAGTTTCTCATAAGCACAAGTAGCCAGCATGAGCTGATCCCTGTGCTCTGTACGGCTGTACCTCCTTGCTACCTACATAACATTTTCTATTATTTATGCTATAGATTTACAAAGTATGAATAGATGGACTGTGATTCCCTATAGGACTTGTGAGTGTTAAGTTGTAATATTACAATTTTCGTCCAAAAAATAAAATATAAAATAAAATAACATACAGAATATAAAATAAAACCCCACAATTGAATAATATAGAATTATAGATAATCAGCACATGAATCATGCAAAAGCCCATGCGATCCTAATTAATCTAAAAATTGACAGAACAGGAGTTTAAAGACATGCAACAATGCCCAGACTAATAAGTCATTAATAAAAGCAAGAAGAGTTGTCCTACCAACGCTATTGCAGCAGGAACTAGTTTACTATTACATCTTGAATTCACCTGAAATATATGACAAGTTGAGGTACAGGCTATCAGTCAGGAAAAGCAAAAAAAAAAAATGGCCCTATTGGAGCATCAATGAAACATCATACTGTCTTGTCTCAATAATTCTTGTCTAACAAGAACTAATTAGAATCAATGCTGTTTAAAAATCAAGTTGTTCCACATCTTTGAGCTCAACTGAAATATAATACAGCTCTAGAAAGCTGAAACTGAGAAAAATGCTGAAATTTAAATTGGCCAGAAAAGAGGTATGATTGGACAAGTGAATATGCCTTTTCCTTTTCCTTTTCCTTTTCCTTCTTTGACAAATAAAAATTGAGAATCCTTATTTAATTGTTTTGACAATTGTTTCTCACCTTGTGACTGCCTCCATAGTGCAGCTTCCCGCATTGATCTTAATTCGGCCTACAGCATCCAAACACTTCTATTATTTGATAAATCCAAAATCTGTAAATGTCTACCTAAAGTAAAAGTAAAAGGCATTACCTTCATTTCTTCTTCCTCTTCTTTTTTCTTAATTTTATCAACCGATTAAATAACACTCAAATTGAGTCACATATCGAACCAAAACTAAGGCTTCTTCCTGACAACAACGATTGCCAACAAGTCATGTCCAAAAGACTTTTTACAATGCCATTGGAGAGTCACAAGTATTCCAAGAAACCTCCAACAGATTTGCCCAAAGGTCCATATCCAACCCCCCACCCCCCAATAATTTTTTTTATCCATAGACCTAGTTCAAAGGCTATAAACCCCACTAGTAACGCTACTAAATGCTGAATTACAATGTCAACTTAAAGGGAGCATAGTTACCTATCAAGTAAGACTATTCTAAATTTCAATGGAAAAATAGAGGGAGGATAAATTGTTACAAATTCATCAAGCCATTTGCTACAGAGTATTCTCATCTCAAAATCGTCAAAACCCTTGACATAAATCAAATTTTAAGTCCATAATTCCATATTGCCCATCTAGGCAATGGGAAATAACCCTGGTAAACTCAATGTATAGGCTATAATTACTATAAATCACACTTAGGATAGTCTCCTCGGGCCTGACTTATATTTAACAAAAAAGTATAGGGAGAGCCTTCCTTGATTTACAGACTTTAAGTCCATATATGCAGCAAGAACAATATCCCTACTTACTCCTGAAAACAGCAACACACTGTATACAAAATACAAGAATCACTCTAATTACTGCTGTGAAACCTCAAAGAGACACAAAGCAAACTCCTCTAAGCTGCACATACCTATCAAACAAAGGGTATAAACATCAACTATGACAGTCGATTCAATGAAGATACCTACCTCTGGTTCATGGCTCTAAAACTCAGTCTGATAGCGAAACTCAGGATGCCTACTAACAAGATATCTTCTAAGTCCACCAGGCTACATATCATATGATCACATTATATATAGGTTATAGGCCTTAACATGTAATTATATTAGAATCAAAGAAAGTTACTTTGTGAATCAAACAAGCATGATTGCACTTACACCCTTTTTGTCGGTTCTCTCAAACAAAACAACCTGGCCCCCACGATCTCCAGTAGCAAGGTGGTCCCCAGTCTTGTCAAATTCAATAGTTGATATAATATCAACTGCAAGGAGAAAATTACATGTAAAATAGATCCACTGAGCAGACAATATCACAATATCATTTATTTAAGATGGCATGTATCCTGAGTCTACCACAGTAAAGCATGGGAAACCTCTATATGGTCAATTTCTTATGCTTTATTTTAAATCTAAATGAGATGCTGCCAGCCTATGCCACGTGTTACACCACAACAGCTTTGCACAATTGCATCTCATTTCTTGCAATTTTATCCAATATTATACGAGTAATGACCAACATAAATCAAGCAGCTCATTACACCACAACAGCTTACACAATTGCAATTTTATCCAATATTACACCACAACAGCTTTGCACAATTGCATCTCATTTCTTGCAATTTTACCAAGATCAGCACATTCTCAGTTAGATGCCATATACTGTCACCTTATGGCAGCAAAATCATAAGATACACTAGGTGAAAGGTGTCCAATCTCTAAACCTCAACAATCATATATACATTAGAAAATTTATGACTACAAATGCAAGATACACAACATAGACTACTACTGCAATACTCCATAACAAAATAACAGTCGGAGTAAACAAAATCAGATTGAGAAACTACATAAATCGGAGTACTAATCAGTTTTTGTATTTCGCACTTAATTAGTTCAAAAGACCTTGATCTGTTTGATTAATACTGCAATTCTATCATAATATGAGTATCATACATAGAAGTATTCAGTTTTGCAAAATTTGATTACAACAAATCAAATAACGTCCAAAGTTTTAGCACAAACTACAAGTAAAAGGACCTCAATGCAATAGGGACAACAACAAAAATATTTGAAGCTAATATTTCAGTTTCCTATCTTTGAAATATCCCTGCCAAAAACTAGAGTGGTTGCTCAGTTTACAGCAACATAGAATCTGTTTCTCCAGCTAAGTACACGCGTTAGATATGCTGAGCGCCAAATCAGAAAGCTGAGGAACCCAGCAATGGAGAACCATCAAGTTCATAAACAAATGCCCAAACGAGAACCATCAATTTAAAAAAAAAACAGCAACAATCAAAACCCTAAAACAATTTACTATTGTTGAATGCACAACTCAAAATTAAAATCACAACAGCAAACCACAAAGAACAGAAAACCCTAAATCAACGACTAACCCTAGATTGCGAAGGAATTCAATAGATTAGGAAGACCACGAAATAAATCTTACCTCGAAGCTGCTACAATGGAGTTGGAAAGCTCAGAATGCGCTTCAATGGAGGTGAGAAAGCTCAGCAGAATGCGCTTCAATGGAGAAGAGCTATGGAGAGAAAGAGACGAGTTGCGGCAATGGAGGTGAGAAAGCCCAGAATGCGCTTCGATGGAGGACGTACAGCTATGGGGAAGGTAGGCGACAGCGAGGGGGTTACGAATTGAATGTGGAAAAGCCAGAAGCTAAGGGAAATGAAAACTGAATTGAAGGAAGAAGAAGATCGAATTTCACGATTAAGTCGTTTTTTTGTTTAATTTACAGCACCGGTTCGAACCGGTTGTAAATGAATTCTTCCCACCGGTTTGGGCAGAACCGGTGCGAAATCCCTCTTTCCCTCTTCTTTTTTTTTTTAAATAAAAACTTTGGCACCGGTTCAAACCAGTGCAAAAACCAAGATTTGGCACCGGTTTATAAGGAACCGATGCGAAAGGTAATTATACAAATTCCGCCAATTTTTTTTCCCACCGGTGCGAAAAAGGGGGTGCCTTTTTCATTTTTTCTATTAGTGTGGGTTGTACGTGTGTGCTAGCACACAGCAACGCCTAGCAGCACGCACCAAGCAGCAGCGATGCATGTGTTGCGGGCTGGCTGGCGACGTGCTAGCTGGCTGCCCTGCCTTGGTGTTAGGCGCCAGCTGGCAGCCAAGGCAGGCTTCTAGCCAGCCAAGTGGAGGAGTGGTCCAGTTTTTGTGTGGGGACCAATGGTTGGTGTTTTGCCTTGGGGAGTAAGGTGGGTTGGTCCCCTCCCTTGGTGGTCCTCACCTTCTCCCTCACCTCCCATTGCCACTTGTAGCTTGTTGATTGATTTAGCATTTTATTTTGTTTTTGATTAAAATAAAATAGGGGAAAATGCAAATCTCCCACATTGATTGAGAATGGGATTTGGGAATAACACTTGAGTGGAACTAAAAAGGCATCTCGAATTAATACACTTAGTCCTTGTGATTCGACCTTAGCTTGCCACTATATAGTGTGAACACGATAGAGTTAGGTTAGGAATATAAATTGTTTATTTGATTTAGGATAGTAGACACGACCTATTATCCAACAATAGGTTAGGTTTCACAACTTATTTCTCTTCCTTCTTCTCACAAGGTTTTTCAACCACTATCTCACTCAAGGGTGCATCATCTCTCTAATTTTCAACCAAAACCTCATTGGAGCTCTCCTTAGCCTTACTCTTCCTAGGAAAACTTTCCTCAAGCACCTTACCACTTCTTGTTACAATAGCATTGACGGATCTCTTTGGGTCTAAGCATTGAGAAGGTAACACTACCACAAAATTGGGTAAATGTAACGCACAATACTAAACACCTGGGTGACTTGACCGTTCTCCATAGAAAAGAGAACGATTGAGTATGGGAAGAGCCTTCTAAATGACTTAAAATTAAACAGGTACAAGACCCCACCGCTCTATTTCATGAATTGCCATTTTAATCCTTTTATTTTATGTTAATTAATTATTTAAAAGAAATCAGTTGATCTTTATCTAACCCTAATTTCCAACAGTTGAAAACCTCTTCCCTCTTTACTCGCCAACCGCCACCTTCAAACCATTGAACCCTCCCTTAATTCTCTCTCCTCCATCTCTATAACTCTCCTTACCCATCAAATTCCTTGAATTTCATCATCAAATCCTAATTTCGACCATTTAAAAATTTCTCTCTACAATAATCCATCTTATTTTCTATGACCTCCATCCCTTTTCGACGCTCCCTAATTTAACCCTCCACTACCTTTTCATCTCCTCCATTATTGTTACTTTCATTTCCACCAGGGACGTTTTATCTTCATTCTTTGCAAACTTCATCAATTTGTGTTACTTTTACTACCACCATCGACTCCACCTTCACCTTAAAATACATCAACGGCGGCGGCGTTTGTAATTTCTTGAAATCTAGCATTATATGGTGCGAGCCTCGACGGTTTCAGCGATGGTATGTATAATATTTCTTCTGAGTTTACATCTTGACAATTGCCTTAGGATTTGAATCTACTTGCTCAAATTAGCTATAATTTTCTAATTCCGATTGTTTTAATGATTAATTGTTCAAAATTAGTCAAATTTTTAATTAGATAATGGGTATGCTGGACGTTTTTTTTCTTCAGATTATTAAAGAATCTAGTACTCTAGTAGGTTGACTATTATGAATTTGATTTTATTTGTTTGAACTTTTATAATTTTATTTTTGATAATTACAAGGTTTAATTATTCTTTTTTTTTTTTTTTAATTTCTATATTATTTTAGTATGAGGAGACCCCCATTTATCTCCTAGATAAACAAAATTGGTAAATCCCATGGCAAATTGGTAAATAAATGAAGGAAAAAGTTAAAAAAATGAAAGACCCACTAACTTAACAGTGTAAACTTTTTGAAGGCATGCCGTTATTAGTGTGAAGCCATGGAAGAGCTCAAAGAGGAAGAAGATGACGCCATTCCCCCCGACCTTCACCTTTCCTCTCCAAAATCCATCACAGCCACCACCGTCAAAGAGTCTCGTGTTCCACCGCCAACAATTCCGCCACAAACTAACTCCGTGACGCCGCTTCGCGGCTGTAGCCCGACCGGCCGAACAAATAAAAACCCTAATAGCAAAGTGTGTAAAGTAGGGCCATACAAACCCTTTAGGGAAAGCATCACCTAACTGCCGCTTTGCGGCTAAATCGGGCAGCCATTCCGCCATAAAAACATAAGAAAATGTAGATGAGGAGAGAGAAGAAAAACAAACCCCATAACCACCATATCTACCATCACCACCGTGCATCGCCAATGATTGTTGACAGAATTTGCTGACGAAAATTACATTTTGATGATTTTTCCAGAAACAATTGTTTACCAAAGTGACAAAGAGTATTTGACGGAGTTGAATTTTCAGTTAATGTTCAATTTACATAAATAACCCCACTTTTACTGCATTTTTACGAAAGTACCCTGGGATATACTTATCATGTTTATCTAGGAGATAAACTTGAATTTCCTCTTTTAGTATCAATTATATAATTATTTTACCGTGATATAATTTATGTATGATTGTTGAATTGTTTTTGTTTGAACATGAATTTTTAGGTCTCATAAACTTTTATTTTAATTGTTCAAATAATAATTTTTTTGTTTATTCTTTGCAGATTGAACAAAGATGATGACAAGTTTTGCTTTCAGAAATCAAGAAGACTGAATCTTATTCATTTGTTTTTTTTTTTCTGTACTTGTTGCAAATATAAATACTTGTATTTTACTGTAATTATTTTAATCAGTAAAATATTTTAAATCGAAAGATTAGGGGATAAATTTACCGTGATTTCAGTTTCTTCTAGCATTGCACAGTAATTTTATTTTTTAAAACAAAAAATTAAGAAAAGAGGAGTTAAGTATCACAGGTGCTTTATATTTTAGACATTAATAGGTCAGTTTGGTTAGATAGGCGCTTCCATTTCTCATAAAATGCAACGTCTAAGTGAAATAGGTGCCTCCTTTTCTTTCTTATGTAATTTATTTAACAATAGAAAAGGAAACTTTTAACTAAGAAAGGTGTTCTGTTTCTTTATTAATTATAGAACGCCTTCAAAAAGCGTCTTGTATACTTTATAAGGCACCCTAGTTGAAGAACGCCTCTAAAGCGTTCTGTTTTGTCTATTTGAGGCGTTTTGTAAAGCGTATTTTGTAGTAGTGTAAAGAAGAGGGGCTTGCATGGTCTTTCAAAGCATTTGCTAGTTAGAATATTTGGTTCTCAAGCATTTTGTTGTAGGTCATTATCTCATTGAACTTTTTATCACTAACCGCCATGTAAGTGTTCAACAACTTGGTTTTATTTACAATGTTTTTTTCCAAATTAGACCTAGAAGAAGAGGGTGGTGCATAGGAATTATCATTTTGAGCTTGGGTCTTTGGAAAAAAGTTGGGAGGAGGGCCTTTTTGTGAATTGCTTTGAAAATTGCCCTTATTTGGGTTGTTCCAATTACCTCTAGCTTTGTTTTGATTTCCATAACCTTGGTTTTGGTTACCATAACCTTGATTTTGATTTCCAAAATATTGGTTATGATTACCAAAGCCTTGGTTTTGATTTTGGCCACTGTAACCATGGTTGTTATAGTTGCCTCAGAAACCTTGGTTTCCTTTGTTCCTTTAATCACCACCTTGGTAATAGTTGTCAAAATTACCTTGGTTGTGGTAATTTCTATTACCTTGACCTCGTTAATTATCAAACCTTGATCCATTGTTATTAGACACATAGTTCACATGCTCATTCTCATTACCATCAAAGTCATCACATACATCCGAATAAGAGTGAGGACAATTAGATGCATCATGATCATAAGAACCACACACATCACAAAACAAGCATCCGTTAGGCCTGTTATTAGAAGAGGGAGGAGGAGTAGGGTTAGAAGATATACCTCTCCCGTTAAATTGGGAGGGCAAAATTGGAGTTTGAGAGGAAGTACTCTCCAACTTGGCCTTAATCGAAGACATCTCTTTCCCTATGTTTGAAACTTGAGAGGTGAAGTTGTTGATGGCATTAAGGTGGTCGATGGAGTACACCGCACTTCCTTTGCTTGGAGATTCTCTTTCCCCATCTTGCCAATCCATGTAATGCCTAACCACATCCTCAATTATGTGCACCACCTCTTCTTCCGTGCAATTCATAATAGGGTCACCGGCCACCACATCCAAGCACGATTTGCCTTGTGGACTCAAACCACCATAGAAGATTTAGATGATTTGATAAGTTGGGATTCCATGATGAGGTCATTCTCTTTGGTACCCTTTATACCTCTCCCAAGCCTCATAAAGGCTCTCATTAGGTTTTTGCTTGAAGCTTTGGATAAGAGCTCTAGCTTCCGTCGTCTTCTTTTGTGAATAAAACCTAGACAAGAACTCTTTGGTGACCTCGTCCATGTTCTCAATGAATTGGTTTCACCTACTAATCCAACAACTCCAAGGCTCTTCCAATGAGTGAAAAGGGAAAGAGCTTTAAGCGAATGAACCCTTTGGCTCACACCATTTACTTTTATTTTGTTGCAATATTTCTCAAACTTCTTGAGATGATTTAGGGGGCTCTCATGTTTAGCTCCACTAAATTGCCTTTTCTCGATCAAAGTGATCATAGCTGGTCGGGTTTCAAAATCATTAGTGGGTGTTGTAGGTGGTGCAATCCCACTTTCGAACCTATAAGCACCGGGAATCCCTAACTCTTTCAAAGCAACCCTTGGATTGTCTCCCATGCTTGCTTGTTCAAATTCTTGTTGTACCTCTTCTCTTGATGGATTGGGGCTCAAATATTTTGAAGCAACTCTTCTTCTAGAGATTGTTCTTTCAATTTTCGGATCGAAAGGCACAAGTGAACAAGCACGTGTACTATGGATGCAAAACTCAATGAAAATATTAGTAACACGGCTACAAGCGTAACCTAAAGAGAAAATACTTTTTTTTGTTTTCAAATAGAATGAAGTAGACTCAACAAACTAAAGCAAACAAACTACGCCATTCCCTGGCAATGACGCCATTTGAAAAGGGTTGAAACTATGTTATTAAGCTAGCTTACCTATGTCAACTAATTTATAACCAAACCTACACCTAGTATAGGGGCAAGTCCAAGTCGATCCACGGAGAATAGGTGGAACGTTACTATAGTTTTGCGTCAAGCTACCTCAGAGCAATAGTGTGAAAGTAGAATAAGCTAAGCTAGTCACGTAAGCAAGAAATTAAGGAAGAAATCAATCACAAATATGCTAGGGATAAGGTTCCACATATAATCACGACAGAGGTGCCAAATTGGGGGTAACTCGAAGCAATGGAGTGTTGCAAGGGCTAATGGTATTTGCAATCAAAGAGTTCAAAAGGCTATCTAGACTAATTGTCAAGCTAGATTTCCACTATGAATGACAAACTAGTAGAATCACAATTCAAACAAATCAAAATTGACAATCTCAAATCAAGTGGTCATGTCATCAAGATCAACAATGCAATCAAGTTTAGCAATCTAGGTTGATCAATCCTATCAAACTAAACACATGTACAAATCAATAAATCAATTTAATCACAACAATCTATTGATCAAAATCCCCAAATTAGCAACAATTTATCAATCATACATGCTTCCCCAACACGCTAGCTAAGAAATATACTGATAGAGGATCTAAACACGTCGTTATATGCTTAAAACCTTATCAACAAAATTTGTAAACTCTCAACCAATCCTAAAGAAAGTATAGGGGCAAGTCAAGGGTCGAACCACGAGGAATGGGAGAAAGGTTACTATAGCCTAGAGTCAAGCTACTTCGAAGAATGGGAAGGTGTTGATTATGTAAACTATGATCTCAAGCAACTAAATCAAAGAAGAAATTCAACATCAAAAGCAATAGGGATTAATCCACATGCAATTAAGATAGGAATGCTAATTGAGGGGAATCGATCAACCAAATGTTGCAAGGGAAAATAGTAATTGCAATCAAGAGAACTCAAAAGGTTATTTCCTAGAAGTCAAGCTATGTTTTCTCTATGAATGACTAGTAAGAAGAATTACAAATCAAATTCAATCAATAAATCAAGTGGTCATGTTATTAGGAATCACAATGCAATTTAGCTTGAAAATCAAGGTTAACTACTCCTATCAATCGAAACACGTGCACAATTCTATCAACTAATTTAATCACAACATTCAATCAATCAAAATCCTTCAATTAGCAATGATTCATCATTCATACATGTTTCACCATCACCCTAGAAAAGAATATACTCACTAATCATGGTTAATTGAAGAAGCAAAACTAAACTAATCATCAAATTCATCATCATCATTGCAAAACAAACTAATCAAGATCAAATCAATCAATAAGCTTGAAATTGCAACACTAATCAAAATCAAATAGAATGAATTAAGAAGAAGAAGAATCTTACAAACTTTGATCAAATAAAAGGAATTGTGCTTGCATTCAAAGTAGAAGAAGATCAAATGTAGAAATCACCAATTTCTCTCTTTAAAATCTAGTACAAAAATAGAAGTTCAAGTCTATCTATTTGTTCTTCAAAAGTAGAAGGAAAAGCTATTTATAGTATAACTAACTACGGAGAAATAAGGAAAACGTCCATAAATAGACCCGTACGGGCGCGCCCTCTCACAAGAATGCACGCCCGCGACGATCTAGGTAAGGAACAGAGATCCTTGGTGGCGCGCCCGCGCAAAAGAGTTACGTGCCCGTGCCACTAGAACAGGGGAAATCCTCAGCGCGCTCTTCGATGTAGGTGGTATGCTCCTCTTGATCGTCACTAGATATGGTAGTCACGAATTGGAGTTAATGGTGGGTGCAACACCATATTTTCACGCGAGCGCTACACGCGAGCGCAATCATCAATTCTTAAAGTTAGCCATTCCTTGCCTGGTGAGATATGTGAGAGCTTCCACCTTGCACTTTGAGTATCCTCTAACCCAAGAAATCATCATGAAGGGTCTTGGACTCCACCTTATACCTACAAACAAAGAAAGGAGAACAAATAAAAGAGAAAAGACGATAAAATCTATGGGGAATAGAAGAAAAGGTAAAATAAACAAGAAAGAGATAACTAGAGAGTAAGAGGCCAAAACAAAGAAAAAGATAGAAATAAATCTATAAAAGAGATCAAAAACATCTCAAAATATCGCCATTTGAGTGCCATATATGGCACTCATCAAATTCCCACAAGCTAAACTTTTGCTCGTCCTCGAGCAAAATAAAAACAAGTAAGGAAAGATGAATGGCTTATTCCACAAAGAAAAGATAGAGAAAGGGATGGGAATGTACACTAACTCACTAACGTAGGAATCACGGTTGGTAGCTACAACAAGCCCTTAAAACCCCAAAGTCGCCAATGAGGACGAGTGAGGTCTTGTAAGGGTTTCCAAAAGAGCTTAACCCATAACTCTCAAAGCAAAAACAAGGAAAAGCTTGAAAATAAAAGTGAAAAAAAAAACAAAAGAGAAAACACATGCCAATGAAATGGACTTTTGCAAATGATCAAGCACAAATGGATGCAAAACTTCCTAAACAAATAAGGGAATGGACGTTCCAAGATATCCAAGGTTGATTTGAATTATAAAACATGTTAAGCATAGAGACCTAATGAAACACAATTCCCCTTCATCCCAAACAATCTTACCGCATTCTCCGTACTAGTTTCAAATCAATCTCTATTGAGCATCTCAATGATTCCTCGAAGGAGCCGGAAAAGAAGAAATTTAGGGCTACTCAACATCTTGACTATGAAAACCGCTCCATAAGCTTGGCTCCTATCTCCCTCCACCGACTTGTGACTCAACCACAA